GGGGGGGAGGGGGGGCATAGTTGGTTAGGGAGCACTGTTGCATGGCTATGGAGCTAGAGCAAGTTGACACAGGATATGACTTCAAGGCAAGCTCTAAGAAAGCAGCCCTTAACAACAGTGCCCTGAGCAAAGTGGGGAACTCATCACGAGAATGGATGCTCTCTTGAACAAAAGATGGATTGCTGGTGTAGCCCAAGATGCCCTCTTCTGAAGGCCAAGGCTGCATGACTAAAGGCACAAATGCACGCTTCTAAGGAACAGATATACCCTCACTTCTGGAAAGGCCCAAGGGCATAAAACTTCTCCTTTCTCTGACACATTTTCCATTAACTCGAAGGACCATAGAGATGACAAACCTTCATCCATTGCAAAAGCATATGGCTATTAATTACACAGCAGCAAAGAGAAGCAGGTTTCTGCTCACTTTGTGGAAATCAAACCATGACAACTGGTGAAGGGTTAAATCCTTATACTGGTATCAGTTAAAAGCCTCAGGGAGGTAGGATTTACCTGACTTCTACTGCCTAAAAGTTAGGGGTTCTTATCTCAAATACTGTTGAAGCTCCTTTATTAGTTTAGGGTGGAAGGTACATAGTTATTAAACATAGTTTTCTATGACAGAATGGACTACCCAGTCACTGTACATGTTCATTTTTCAGCAAAAATTACAGTATATCTATGATGTGATCAGACTGGGCACCTAACCTCAGGCAGCTACATTCTGCGTAGAGGAATTTTGTCAATTCTGTGAGAACAAAGAGTACATTTAAAGAAAACTTGCTCTCTGGTGTCCATGTGCAGTTCCCTTTGAATCCAGCACTGAATCTTAAAATCTGCTTCTGGTTTATTGTACATGCAGGGAAACCTCAGCAGCACTCAAAAATGGTATGCATGGGCATTTGACAACTGACCTCAAGGAGAAAGAAGAAACAACCACTATACTTGAATAGCTGTGAGAGGCTGATACCGACCCTCTGGTGCAGTAAGAGCAGCTTACTAAACAGTATTTAATAATGAAGCTAACAGTGCTTAATCAGCAAGAACCAGGTCATAAAATTCTTTAAAGTTATGGTTTTTTCCAATAGGTGTGACCACTGATGTCTTCCCTCCATCAAAATGTTCTTTGTCCTACTGAATAATTAAGCTTTGCTTCATCTTTTTCCAGAGCAGGAAGTCAAAGCCTCCCCCCCCACCCCCCATAGCAACACAGCTCCATTTGAAAAGAAAGCACACTGTTCTCAGACTCCCTTGGTTTCAGGGAATGGTAAGGGCTATTCAACAGACTGATGCACCACATTTGGGCAACGGGCAGCTACATGCATAAGGAAATGAGCAGAAAACCGGGTCATGACCTGTTTATGGACAGCTGGAAATTACTGACCTACAGTTTATAAGCTAAGGCCAGGAATAAATGAGTGATTCTCCTTGACTTAAAGCTACATATCAGCCATCCTAGATCTTGTTAGGCACAGGGAGAACAAGGGTTTTGAATAACAACTTTCAATAATAAGAACAGGGCGTTACTTGTAACGTTAACAATAAAAATGTAGTTTGAACCATGGTGCGTGAAAAAACATTGCCTTGTTGATACATATGGGTGGAAGGTGGGGAATGTTTATAAATGGCGTCAGAATACTTAAAGTGGTCACAGAACAGCTGCTTTACATCAATACCAGCATGATGTTATGAAAAAACATATTTTTAAATGATTAAGGCAGCTGTTCCAGGTTTAGGGCCTAGCAAAGAGATGTGACAATCATTTTTTTTTAAAAAAAAAAAAAAAAAAAAAGGCAGATTGACCTCATTGGTCATTGAACTATCAAACTTACCGGTTTCCCAAACTCCAATTCCGAAAAGAATTTATACCAAGGTTCATTCTTTAAATCTATCTCTTCTGGGCTTATATCCCGAGTCTAAAGGAGTTGGTGATAGGGGAATGGAAGAAAGAGAAGGATAACATTATGCAAAGAATACACGGAAAGGGACTGTTAGAGATGCAGATCCCATGGTTTCCATTCTAAAATGTAGATATTTAGCCTTATAATTTGGAATTTCTATAGCACCTCTCTCACAAAGGCCATGAACTGCTTTGCAAACATCAGTTAAGCCTAATGGCATCACTGTGAGCAACATGAATATGAATGAATTGCATTTTACAGATCAGGAGACCCACACAGAGAGAGATTATGCAGCTTGCCCAGAGTCACAGGGAGACTCAATGGAAGAGCTGGGAGTCAACCAGTCCTCACTCCTACTGTCAGACACTTCCATCAACTCCAAAGCTGCACGTACTAAAAATGTTTTTTAAAATCTTCATTTGTAAAAAAAAAAAAAAAAAAAAAAAGAGATTCAGCAAGACTGAAATTCAAATACTGCATCTTTAACAGCACATGAATATGTGAGAAACCCTGTTCTATACACTGCAAACAGAGTGAAAGGTGGTTTTCTAAATCAAAGGAGACACGAGTCAGACAGAGTGCATCCCTGAATGATCTCTGAAGGGACGGACAGAGAGACAATATTGTTTCTTCACAAATAAATGTTAAGAGAATCAGACAAAACTACAATCAGGGAAAATCAGACAGGACAGAAAACAGCAGTTGAAAAGGAAATTCCCTTTTGTTCATACAATCTGTTTTAATGAAACAAAAAAAGTTAAAATAGTCGTAGCTGTTTAAAAATACTACAGGTGAGGTACAAGAATTAATAATAACTCTATTCCCAAGGGTTATGAGGCGCCACTCCCCAAAAGACACATAGCTAACTCCTGCATTTCAGTGTACCTAAGTCTTAGACATAATGGATATCTCACTGCACTAAAAATATAAATACATTATGCCTGACATGCCAGTGTGATCCCAAGTGCTCCATCACAACAAGCGATGAGCCACACACATGCACGGAGGGCCAACGCAAAGTGTCCTGATGCAAATCTTCCAGTGACAGATTTACTGAGGCAGAGGAGAGTTGCCAACAGTGCTGGGCTTTACTAGATGTCCCAGACTCTGCAACTGCCAGTACGTATCACAAAAAAAGCTCTGGGACAAGAGCTCAAGATTGATGCTAAAAGACGCACAATACTTCAGTCCAGAAGATAAATGGTTACATCATGTTTGATCTCCAATGGCCTGGAGGATGATTTGGCTATTTCTTAAAGGCACAACAGAAGCAATGCCTCCATTTTTTTTTTTACTCCACTCCAACTAAAAGCACTCATCTTGTTATATAACTGCCTTTACA